CATACCGAGTACAGTTGGGGATTCTGGGGTGATGTCAATAACCACAGCCTCCAAGGAGGACTGGAGTTGCTCTAGGATATGGGGAAGGTCAGTGAACTCAGACACTGAGAGAGCAGAATTGGCATGGTGGGATATCTTCTGCAGTTCTCTGCTATCAGAGCTTCTGGTTCCAATTGTAAAGGTCAAGACACCCAGCTGTTTGAGAGCAGAGGCTGCTGCATCAACACTGTCAGAAGACCCTTCCCCACTTATCAATATCAGGACTTGTTTAACTCCTTCCAGGCGCCTGCTTCCGGCAGAGGGAGTGAAGACAGTATCCCTCACGTACTGGAGAGCTGCTCCAGTGTTGAGGGGTCTTCCACCTATGTGCCTCAAACCTCTGACAATGTCAAGGATCTCACTTTTTGTTGTGTACCTGTTCAGATAGAACTGGACAGCTGGATCTTTGCTGTACTGAACCACTGAGACACGGTCTGTGTTATCATCCACACTCAGTCGTTCTATTACTCTTTGGACAAAGTCTTGGATAGCTGGGAATCCAGTCCTAGTCCCATTAGATCCATCCAACAAGAAAACAACATCCCTTCCTTTTGGCTGTCTCTCCACTAGGGAACATATAATTTGAAACACATATGTATTTATTTCATGCGTCAAAAGTTTTCCGTGAAAAAAGTCTTATGATGAAAGTTCCCCTTAAGGTTTACAAGATTAGCTGTATTAATACTGGCACGACTATTTTGGCAGAAGGAGACTGGCTGAACTTGACTTTCCGTAATATACACTAACACAGTTCATATTGTGTCACACCATGATCTTGGAATGTAAAATTCAGTCACTTTCTCACCAGTTACTGTTGGAATCAAGGGCGTGGCCCTCAGTAGCGCTGTGCTTATTAGAGAGAGGAGCTGTTCTTGGACATTCTGGAGGTCAGTGAACTCAGACACTGAGAGAGTGTAATTAGGGTCATATGATATTTTTTGCAGCTCTCCACTGTCAGAGCTCCTTGTTCCAATGCCAATCACAAAGATGCCCTGCTGTTTAAGAGCAGAGGCTGGAGTATCTATATCGTCAAAAGACCTTCCACCCTTCAGCAAGATCAACATCTGTGGAACACCTTGCAGGCGCCTACTCCCGGAGGAGTTTGTAAATACATTATCGCTGACGTATTGTAGGGCAGAACCGGTGTTGAGGGGACCGCCTCCTCTGGGTCTCAGCCCTCTTATGGAGTCCACAATATCCTCTCTTGTTGTGTATGTTTTCAGATAGAAATGGACCTCTGCATCTCTGCTGTACTGGACTACAGAGACACGGTCTTTGTTTTCTCCCACATTGAGTTTCTCTACCAGTTTCTCTACGAAATCACGCATGGCGGGGAAGCCATTCCTTGTGCTATTAGAACCATCCAGAAGGAATACAATATCTTTTTTGCCAGTTTCAACTAAGTAAAGACAGGAAGACAAAAAATAAAAACATTTGTAAAAAGTAAGCTCCTGGACCAATCTTAAAGTGGTGAGGTATTTTTTTTAAAGCACCTAGCACTGCCTACGCTGAGGTTAAACAGTGGGAAAGAGCAGCACTGCCTCTATTTTAAACCACACGTAGAGCTAAACAGGAATTGCACTTGATTTATTTCCCTCTGTGTAGGCGAAACAAGTCAGGTAGTTTTTCTGGCCAGCATTAGGAAGTGCTTGTCAACATACCGAGTACAGTTGGGGATTCTGGGGTGATGTCAATAACCACAGCCTCCAAGGAGGACTGGAGTTGCTCTAGGATATGGGGAAGGTCAGTGAACTCAGACACTGAGAGAGCAGAATTGGCATGGTGGGATATCTTCTGCAGTTCTCTGCTATCAGAGCTTCTGGTTCCAATTGTAAAGGTCAAGACACCCAGCTGTTTGAGAGCAGAGGCTGCTGCATCAACACTGTCAGAAGACCCTTCCCCACTTATCAATATCAGGACTTGTTTAACTCCTTCCAGGCGCCTGCTTCCGGCAGAGGGAGTGAAGACAGTATCCCTCACGTACTGGAGAGCTGCTCCAGTGTTGAGGGGTCTTCCACCTATGTGCCTCAAACCTCTGACAATGTCAAGGATCTCACTTTTTGTTGTGTACCTGTTCAGATAGA